ATACTGAGGCCAGAGGATTCCAATACACTAGATTACTTGGGCCGGGGATCATGTGTTCCCACTCTGAATTTGAGGTAGAGCACCCACCCCAAACCACACAGACTAGGAAGAGAGGATGAATTCCCAAAGGTAATACTAATAGTCACTTTCCTACCACAGGGGAATTATATCCCATAACTCACTGACTTTCAAAATTTTTTTCACCTTGATACCAAGTAAGACATATTACATTGTACATAAATATGTAACCAAAAGTTTCATCAAACTTTTCTGTTATCATGGCAGGTTCTATGATATGTCCTATTTTACTTCACTTTTTAATAGTTTAAAAACATAGTTATAGTAGCAATAATGGTCAACAGGTTTCATCTGTAGTGCTAAATGTGATTAATGGGTAATGGCTGCCTCACGTGCTATGTAGTGAGAAAATACCTGACTTCAGAAGAGTATTTAGCGTGTAAGCGAAGCAATGATGCCAGGATATGACAGTACAATTATGTGATTAAAAAGTCTTTCTTTGCATTAAACTGTGAGCTTCTTCAGCACAGAGTATTATTAATAGTTTGACACAGAGAGGCAGTCACATATTTAATAAATGGTAGGTCTATTTAATGTAAATCCTACCTACTTTTTAGATAATTAGAGTTACCATTCCCACAAGTAGCTTGCTATCTACTTGAAAATACTTGTTTCTGCTGCAGCTTAGAGAATAACTGGGACTTGCAGAGGTAGAAGAGATCATTTCAGGTAGCTAGAAAAACTGAGGCAGAGGCAGTAGTGAAAGAATAAAAAGTCATCTTCCAAATACAGGCTAGACTCAGTTTAGTTAAATGGATCATGTATAAAAATTTTGAAAAATTAAAGTACCAAAGACTTCCTTTGAATGTCAAAGATTTTTCCAACTTCAAGCTAAACACTACTCTCTTCTGTGCTACAGAATCTCCCTCTATAAATCACTGTTAGCAATTCCCTAGAGTTTGATAATACTTTCAATCCTCTGTATGAAAGAAAAATTAAAGCGAAAACTTTAACTTTTATATAATTTTAATAAATCCCTAAAATACTCATCAATTCTTCAGTGAAATATAAACTTATTCTCAAATATGATATAAGAGAAGCCAATATGTGCTATTTTAATGAAACATTTGACTTTAATCAACTGTTCTCAAGGAGAAGAGAGCATGTCATTATCACCAGAGGAGCTTTTGCAAACTACACTGCCCACTCCAGCCTCCAATTCTGATATGTCCTCTCAGGACGTGAGCTGACAGACAGGCAGGGGGAGGGCGTGGTTAGGGATAGAAACATTTCTCATGTGATTGTGGGACAGCTGTTTCCCTCCCATCTAACACATTTAAAAACCACTAGGCTAAACACATGTATTCAAACTTATGGATCTGGAGTTTTCTAATTCCATAAAAAGAAAGCACTGAATTAAGAATTGGGAGATCTGAGTTCTCATTTTGCCCCTTAACTGTCCAATCTGAAACAAAGTTACTTATTTCTACCTCAATTGGAATATAATTAAATTATATTATTCCCCCCATTAGTATTATATTAAAATTGGAAGTTCTACATCACTTCACGAAATTGCTCTAAGGATAAAATAACGTGTGAATATAAACATCTTTAAAATTTAATGAATAGGAATTATCATCATTATTCAAACTTCAGCCTCATTTAGATGTCAAAGCATAGAGTAATTTGGATTGGTTCGGTTTATCCTTAAAGCATGCAAGACCAACCATCCAGAGCCATTTAGAAAGGAGTAAGATTCCTTGAACCTTGCCTAATCCATACATCCCTACTCCAAAAGCTTGGCCAAATCAAACCTAGCTTGAGAATCGGGAAAATTGATTCCCATTAATGAATTCTTCTGAATATTCAACCAGAAAAAGAAATAATGGACTAACGAGATTCTTAAAGTGAAATATTCAAAATTAACTAAAGACTCTCAATAGACACTTACATATTAGCATATTAAAGACAATATTCTAATGTACATGGTTTGGACTCAGAGACTAAATTGAAACTTTTAAAAATTAGGTGTCAGACTAATAAAAATTTAAATAACCTTACCCCTAAAAAAAAAATTAGTGCCAGCTGCTTATACTCCCCTATCCTCATACAAGTCCCTATACAATGGCCAACAGTAAGCACAATGAAACTAGTATGGTGCCTGGCAGACAGTGAGCACAAATAAGTATTTGCTGAATTCATGATTCCCTATTTTCCACATCTTTTACATTATCTTAGTTTACCGATATGGATGCTGGCATGTTTTCTTTTAACCTAGTGAAAACTGAAATGGAAATGGTGGCTAAAAGGATAATTGAATCCTGCAAACTCTCACTTTGTTTCATTAGTTTCTACTTTATCATATGGCACTCTCTACTGAGTTGAGCACAAACACCTTAGACTCAACCATAAGCTCCTTAAATTCTTTACAAATAACAATCACAACTATAGCCTAGTTTCAATGAAAAATGAATGAATTCTGAATCCAGAATAATTTAAGCCAAAAGCAAAAATATGGATAGACGTTAATACAAGAACTATAAACTGTAAGTCTTGTCAATAACTTTCTATTACATTTACAGTTGACCTCCGAACAAGGCAAGGGTAGGGGCCCCCACCACCACACAGTTGAAAATCTACTTTTAACTTTTGACTCTACAGTTAGCCTTTTGCATGGTAGATTCAACCAATCACAGATGTTAAACAGTATTTTCTATCCAAGAATGGGAATGAGAAAATACTGGTTTTAATCCGCAGTTGGTTGAATCCACAGACTGGAAACCGTGGACACGAAAGCCAACTGTATTCATTGAAAAAAAAAAAAAAATCCACGTATAGATGAACCTACACAGTTCAAATCCGTGTTGTTCAGGGCTCAACTATAATGGCACCAACTTCGACCTCGAAGTAAATCAACTTCCCCTATAATGACGGTGCAAGCCAACTTCTTACGTCACTAATATTCTAAATCTACATACGATTTCCTCCAGAAAAAGGCACAAAATCCTACCAGTTCTCACTCAGCTCAAAGCAATTCTTTTTTCACAACTGTACCATTTGGATTGGGTTTTGGATACAAAATCCAATGAAAATTCCGAAACACTCTCAACGAGACAATCGACTCCGTCTTTCACTTCGTAAGGCTAACCCTCTATGTCAAATATCATAAATGAATACTAGTGTGTATAATTCAAGATGCCAACCAGAATGACAAAATATCGAATACCTAGCGTTTCTCAAATAAGAAGCTCCAGTATACCCTAATGCGTTATACAAGTGTAGTTACATCTGACACATGAATGATGTTTAATGACTGTGGTTCCCTCTTTCAAGACACTCAGTTGAGAAGTGAAATTTTTTGTGAACAGACTTTCTTGACCACAGTAGCCTCAACGGCAGATTTAAAAGTAGCCTACCCTTTGATGCAGGAGGAGACAGTCATCATACACACGCAAAAAGGATACTGACATGCAATACTACTCCTTTGAACGTCCATGCCCGTGTTTAGAGCACCATCTACCACGCTTTCAACAAGCACATTCTGGCCGACAACTCCATCCTTCATCATCCCAGGAAGCTTAACCCCTTTCCCTTTACAAGTTTAATTCACTTCAACAAGCAATCGGACTGACGGGAGACCTAATTCACCAGACAGCCAGAAAATTCAAGGCCCAACCTCCTCGCCCAACTTTCTCCTTTCATGCATAACCATTTATTATGACTTTCCATCCCGCCCCCGACTCGTCTCATTCCCTAAACTCCCTCCACCAGCACTTACCTCGTTAGTACCCCCACTCTGCCTCGGGCCTCCAACATTCCCCTAGGTCACCCTCCCAACTCCCAGCTCGAACCCCTCTGCAGACACGGCCACAGCAGCGAACAGCCCACCGCACGCCGGACCCATCGGCCCGACGGACAGAAACTGCGAACCCACCGACGGGGAGGGGGCGGCCCTGCGAACCTACCATACGAAGTCGTTGCTTTTGTCCTCGTAGGAGTTGATGAGCCCGTTGCACAGGGGGGCGAGCAGAGGTCGCTTCCTGCTGCCGCTGCCGAGGCCGGAGCTGCTCCCTCCTGCGCCGGCGCTG